CTCTTCAGGGGCCATCAAAAGGGCTGAAGTGCTGGTCCGCCTACAATATGGATTCGTCATGACAACAGTGTGCTTCTGGGAAAGAAGCCAGATACACAAAAGCCACGTGTTCTTTTATTCTGTGTGTGGGAAATGCTCTTTCATGGAACCTTTCCTTATCGACTGTCTTTGATTTTCCCTCTTACCACACCGTAGCACTTGACACTGTCCTGACAGGGTTACTAGGCCGCCTCGTAGGGGGTAACGGTGAGTGTGTCTTGGAGGAGTCCTGGTGGCCTAGTGGTTACGTGTTGGGCTACTAGCCACCAGACCCACAGTTTGAAATGACCAGCAGCTCCTCGGGAGAAAGACCAGGCTTCCTGCTCCCATCAGGAGTGACAGTCTGGGACACCCACGCGGCAGCCCTACCCTGTCCTGTAGAGTCGCCATGCGTGGAAGTGAACTCACTGGCACTGATCTTATGTCGTCTCTCCTCATTGCAGACTGCACGAGGGTGGGGCCTGTAGACAGGAGTGCTGGGTAAAATGTTTGTTCAAATGTAGACGACGGGAACAGATGTAGATATCTACGGGCGTTTCAGTTAATATGGCCCCTGGGAGGTAAAATTGGTGTGCCTTTAACGGCAAACCTAAAGGCAGGTGGTTTGAGCCCACCCAGCAATGTCCTGGAAGGAAGGCGGAGCAACCTGCTCGCACAAAGATCATCGCCAAGCAAACCCCGCGGGTCAGTTCTGGTCAGGAACACACTGTGGACTTGGCTGTAACCATAGCTGCCTAAAGCAGAGAGTGATGTGTGAGCCTGGTCTTCATTTAAGACTGAGAAGATGCTTCCCCGCTGGCCAGGGCTGGTAGCAAGGAGCATCAGTGAAAAGGAAATAGCGCGTGCAGAGATACATACTTCCAAGTCTCTGCTCCGATTTAGAAGTCCTACCATCACAGGCCACTTCATGGTGATGATTTTAATTTGAGAGCATTTCTGTGAGGTTAGAGCAACTCAGGAAAGTCTCCAGCTTGCTTTTTCTGCTGGAATGGATCTACTTAGAACCTAATCGATGTCCCTGTGTCTGTCTTAGGATGGCGTTAGATGACAAGCTCTATCACAGAGACCTGGAACTGGCGCTCGCACTATCAGTGAAGCAAACTCCAATAGTCTCCACTGATTCCCCAGAGGCACGAGATAAAAGTAACTGCTTTCTGCGTATTCATCTTTAAAGTCCACTTACAGAGTGTGTAATCATTTCTATGGAAGGGCGTGCACAGAGCAAAGAAAGTGAAATACTTTGGGCTATTAATAGCAGTTAGCAAAGGGTACCATTGCATTCAAATGCTTATTCAGTTGCCTTAATCACATCATCCATCTGCCCTTCCATACTGTGCTTAACACCCAAGGTAAGCTTGAGGATGCAGACCCTGGGCCTGGGTGTTCTAATGGTATTTGGCACACTGAAAATTTATCACATGTGTACCATCTCCATCAGTTAAATGTGAGCGAGTGATGGTATTTTTTTATTTTTCAAAGTGAAACATTCATTTGATTAGTGATCTCAGTAGGTGTCAGAGATTTGTGACTTCTGATCCCTGAGCAGCAGATGGCAATATTGACATTCTGAGAGGCAGAGATCATTCCTGGGAAGGCGCTCAGACTGCTCGTGTATTGTTCGGATGGTAGTGTTGGGGGTATTCTAG